AATCACAAACTGACCTGCTGCTCTATCGTTAACAAGAAACACTTTACATTCAGTAACCTTCTGTCTCTGTCAGTAATGTCATCTGACAGTAGCAGTTCTCAGATTTTCGGACTAAATTAATCAACAATCCACTGAGAATAGACAAGCAGCAAAAAAAACAAAACAAAAAAAAAAACAGCCCCGACAAACTACAGGTAACCCAGAAAAAAAGGCCTCTCTGTTATTTTGTAGACTTTGCTATGTAGTTATATTGTTGTGGTCTTGTGTAATATTTAAAAAATAATAGTAGTAATAATATTAGTAAAAAATAGTCAAGGATAAACATTTTGATTATATTTCTTCCCCCATTTGTGGCGTCCCCTATGGATGACAGCAATGTAGCATTCGCCTACTGCTTATGCAAGGCTGCCACTGAATTGAACATGCGGCAACCTCCAGGGCTGACAGCTGAACCCAGCCACAAACTGCAGTTCCTCAAATGGCCACTTGAGGCTGGCTCCAGAGGCCAGTTAATTTCCATGGACCTCCATAGTGAAGTGCTCAACTTTACAGCAGAAATACACATTTACAACCTGGTGCAAGAAACGGGTTCAGTCTCTACAGCTATATTGTTGTTGTGAGATTGTTGTGCAAAGCTGCCAAGTCTCACACGTTTATCGAAAGTCTCACACAACTGACACTTTACACACACTCTCACGCCACACATCCATTTTCTCACACAATGACAAACAAATTCATAACTGATAATGCTGATAAAGTGTGAGAAGAGGATACTGACAGCGTACGGGCAGACAAGACAGAGCAGCACAGCAACAGCAACAACATAAAACACTACAGTAAAGCCACCCATTGCTTGGATTCTGATACACATTTGTGGTGTTACCGGTACATGGAGCAGTCGAAAAAGAACAAAAAAAAAACACATTACAGTAATATTTAATTAGACATCATGTATTAAGTAAGTTTTGTTGGATATGTGATGTACCCAAAGAAGGCCCGTTATGAGGAAAAAACTACTGAATTATTGTGCTTCACAATTGATTCATGTCAGCTGAGATTACATAATAACACACTGACAATTTCCTCACATATTTCACAACTAAGAAAACGTTGCAGCAGTTTAATTTGGGCTTGTTGGATTTCTTTCAGTCAGATCCAGACGTAGCTGTGGTGGAGGTGCAGGAAGAGGGACAAATACACTGAATGATGTGGTTAAAAAAAAGTTGGTGCATATAATTTCAAAAACATGCACCTGTGTATACACACAGAAAAAGTATTTTATGCCCTGCTGCAGGGCAGTCAACCATCTTAATCTTCCTCCACGTATTCACATAAGAAATATTACCACACAATCCAATGTTTTAGCTTCTCCACCCAAGCCAAACCCCAACAGTGAACAGTATTTTGGTGAACAAGCAAGTGAATCAGCTTCCGAATGATTCACTGCTCTGCAGCGGAGAGAACAGGAGAGGTTCTGTTCAAAAAGACTGGGTTTACAGTGGCGTGCAAAAGTTTGGGCAACCCTGGTCAAAATTTAATTTACTGTGAATAGTTAAGTGAGTAGAAGATGAACTGATCTCAAAAATGCATGAGGTTACAGATGGAACATAGAGAAAAGGTGTGCTTGAAGAAAAAAAGTGCAGACTTTTTATGAACCTGTCCAACTGTTAAACACGGGGGTGGATCGATCATGCTTTGGGCTTGTGTTGCAGCCAGTGGCATGGAGAACATTTCACAGATAGAGGGAAGAATGGATTCAGTTAAATGCCAGTAAATTCTGGAAGCAAATATCATAGCATCTGTAAAAAAAACTGAAGATGAAGAGAGGATGGCTTCTACAATAGGATGATACTAAACACACCTTTAAATCCACAACAGACTACCCCAAGAGGTGCACGCTGAAGGTTTTGCCATTATTGAAAATCTGGTGGATAGACCTCAAAAGAGGAGTCCATGCAAGAGGGCCCAAGAATCTCACAGAGCTAGAAGCCTTTTGCAGGAAAAATGGGCGGAAATCTTCCAAACAAGAACTGACAGACTCTTAGCTGGTTACAAAAAGTGTTTAGAAGCTGTGAGAACTGCCAAAGGGGGGGGACGTACTGACCATGCAGGGTGCCCAAACTTTTGGTTCAAGTCCTTTAGCTTTTTTGTCATTTTGAAACTGTAAAAGACTGAAATTAAAAAGTAATCTTGCTTAAAATATTGGAAAAAATGTGTCTTCTTTAACTTCATTCCTTACTAAACCATTCACAGTAAAAGAAATTTCGACCATGGGTGCCCAAACAAACACAGTCCTAATACGAGAAATAACTAGATAAGATTTGCTGAGAAGCACAATGGATTCAAATCAGCTCAGATTACACTATAACACACCGACAATTTCCTCATTTATTTCACAACTAAGAAAACATTGCAGCAGTCAGATTTGGAGTTGTTGGATTTCTTTCAGTTGGATCCGACCATAACTGTGGTGGAAGTGCAGAAAGAGGAACAAATACACTGAATGTTGCAGTTAAAAAAAAATTGGTGCATGGAATTTTAAAACTTACATGCACCAGTGTATGTACACGGTGTACCAGTGTATATACACAGAAAAAAGTATTTTGAGCCCTGCTGTAGGGCAGTCAACCATCTAAATCTTCCCCTAGATGTTCACAAAAGAAACATCACCAATATCATCAGTGTTTTACCTTCTCCAACCGAGCCAAACCCCAACAGTGAACAGTACTTCAGTGAACAAGTGAGTGAATCAGCTTCTGAATGTTTTACTGCTCTGCAGTGGAGAGAACAGGTGGCTGGGATGATGGTAATGCTAATGCTATGTGCAGGAATGAGAGAGAGAGAGAGAGAGAGAGAGAGAGAGAGAGAGAGAGAGAGAGAGAGAGTGGTTCTGTTCAAACAGACTGAGTTTCTAATGAATGTCTGTTGTATGACTTACACACTGAAGACATTTACTGACCAACAACACCTCAGAAGTCTTGTCCTCATATTGAAGTTGCCAGCTTTGCATAGTTTCACTCAAAAAACAAGCTAAATCTTGTCTGTATTGGCAACTAACTTACGGGATAGAAGACAACATGTAAAGGAGGCAACTTTGATGTTAATGAGAGGTGTATTTTTTATTTTTTTAGTGGAGGCTAGCTAGTTTGTTTATAGTGTGTCTGTGCTAAACTACACTTAACCAGTCCTGGAAAATTTTACAACTGAATACATGTAGATGACATTTATACTGTTCTTTTCCTCTAACTCCCAGTAGGAAAGCCAACAAGCTATTCTGAAAGTCAACGTGATGTCACAAGACCACTGCCATCTTTGTTTGGGGGAAAGGTGGTGTGTACGCTCTGGCCTGTACACTGCAATGTCTTGAGTGAGTTCCATTTTGATGAAGAATATTGAGGCAAACATGGTGTTTGACTTTTTGATTGATACCAATGGATGCCTTATGCTGTCTTACATCAAATGACTTCTCAAGCAATGTCATTGCCAATTTTCATTTTGACAGTTCTTCAATATCAAAATAAAATCTTGAGTTTTGCTGGAGCTGGTGTGCTCTCCTGTGATCTCAATGGTTCATTGTAAAGTGATTATAAAACTAAGTCTGAGCTGTCCTAAATCAGTCTTTTTCTCATCCTGACATTCCGACAAAATCAAAATGTTTACTATCACAGTAAGGTCTCAGTCTTGGCTCATGCAAATAGTGAAGTTCAATGATGTGAGCATTGTCAACAACCAATAGCTGTGCTCTCTCCAGCACCAAACAGGAAGCAGCAAACCGGGTAGACAGTAAACACGGAGGGGATTCTGTGGAGGCGCAAAAACATGATCAAGTCTCTGTTCTGTTGTACGGTGGAAAAGGAGGAGAAACTAGTGGAGCTATGGTGTGAACAAGCATCCGTGTTTAATTGGGTATGTATCTGATCCATCCACCATCCAGTACTTAGTGTTGTGAGAAATTTTAATTTTTAGTAGAGCAGCTACCCAACTTTTAGCAAATTGAGGCAACAAAATCCAAAATGTATAATTTGTGTGCAAATACAGTTTATCTTTACGGATGATACTGATGCTGATTCACAAGAATACTGTCAACATATGATGCCTCTTATTGTGTGTTTCTAGAGTAATGTGTTTGTGGGGACACAGAGGGAATTGTCAAAACCTCATATTTCTTGAGGGGAGCTAGGCATAATATTTATCCAACAGGAGCAGGATGGGAAATAGTCTGAAAAGGAATCCAGTTGTAGTCTTGCAATTAGTGATCCTGCAAGAGCTCCAGTCTTTGCAAAATCTGTGACTGAAATCTCACATTGTCTAAAGATGTGAGAGGGTGTCAGACTTAAGTCTTCTCAGAGTCTGTCCACAGTCTTCTAGTGCAATGGTTCCCAACTGGTCCAGCACTGGAGTCCAGATTTCTCCTTAATCATCAGCTTAAGGTCCACACAGTTTAATATGTTCAGCGTCATACTTGTATCTGGCCATGTCAGCAAGCTAGTCTGCTGTCTCTGTCCAGTAGCTGTCCATTAGTCACTCACTCTACAGCAGGAAACAGCACTTAAAAGCTTTGTGCTGGAAATTCACTATACTTAAGAATAAAGTGTTTTTCACAAACTTGACACATTTGCAATTCACTTGTGAGTCCCTTCTCCATTCGGAATGGACCCGTGACCCATTTTGGGCCGTGACCCACCAGTTGGGAACCACTGTTCTAGTGTAAGGTAGCCATTAGTTGTACAACCAGTCACACAGCAGCTCTTCGGCATGTTGTTGTGTTGATGTCACAAAGGAGTCCATCTTAATTTGCCACTTTTCCGAGCAGTTCTCTGCACTGCTACAAACTGTACTGGAAGTGATCTTTCCCTAACACCACAGCCCCTTGGAAAAACAGACTGAAAGTTGATCTCTAACAGTACACAATGTATGGGTGCATGAAATTGTGTGTGTGTGTGTGTGTGTATGTGTGTGTGTGTGTGTGTGTGTGTGTGTGTGTGTGTGTGTGTTTTAACCTGTATGTGGAGTATAGTCCTGTCAATAGCGTGGGCCTGCAGCATAGTGACGGTGCATCCACCGAATCCTCCACCGGTCATCCGACTGCCAAACACCCCCTCCACCTCCATGGCTGCAGACACCAGCTCATCCAGCTCCCTGCAGCTCACCTCATACAGGTCCCTGTCACAAGAACATCAAGTTACCACACACCTCAAACATTCTGCCACCCTCAACAGTGATGTGACACTGCTGCTTTAACTGTACCTGAGGGAGTTGTGGCTCTCCACCATCAGCTTGCCAAACTCTTTGTAGGCTCCTCTCTTCAAGGCTTCAGCAGCTTGTGCAGTTCTTTCTATCTCCTCGATCACGTGACGAGCTCTTCGATAGGTTACATCATCCAGTTTGTCCTTTGCCTCTGAAATGACAGAGAAGGTCAAAACTTCACACTACGTCTGGCTTCAGTAGGCTTGAATAGTACTGGACGTTATAGGGTAAGGTCAGTATTTTTCAAAATGGACTTCCCATGGAATTGCCATGTTTCCGTGTCTAAGTGACTTATGGGATCAACAATTTTTGAAGCTGGTCCAGTATTGAGTGTGAAAGCTGCAGCTGGCAGCAGTGAAACAGGCTGCAATGTAACCACTCGATGCACTGGTGCAGGGACAATTCACATCAACTAAATGTGTTTGTTTTTGCCACTGACAGGCTCAGATTATTATTCTACGTGTCTAACATTATGGAAAAGATCCATACAGAGAGTGTGAAGAGTAAGATCCTTTTTGTTTAACCAGAAACAACCCTAAAATTGCCATCGCCAAACACACCAAACTCCATTCAAATAAAGAGCTATTATAGTGTATGTAGAGCCGGCATATTTAAGTGATTGTTGGAATAGTAAAAAAACATACCAAGGTGGTTTTTGTGAGTTTTATTGTGTTTCCGACAACTTTGAAAAAAATGTGTTTTACAATGATAAAATTAGTGTTCATTTAAATAGAGTCTGGTGTGTTTGGCGATGGCAATGTTGGGGCTGTTTCTGGTTGAACAAAAAGGATCGTACTCTTGAACAGAAAGCTCTATCTCTGTAGGGATCCTTTCCATAATGTTGTCAGACACCTAGAATAACAATCTGAGCCTGTCAGTGGCAAAAACAAGCATGGAACGTTTTTATTGTTGTGGCTGAAAAATGTTGAACTTACCCTTTAAACCTCTGAAATTAAAATTAATTTCCTTTCGCATTAAATGCTGTTTGACTTTCTTGTGAGAAAAAAAAACTGAATCCAAAAGGTAGAAACAGCTTCTTTTGCACAGAGCCAATCAAAATATTTACTTTAAACTGCATTTCCAAAAAGTAATACTCATCACTGTTCTATAACTGATGTGATCTAACTGACAAGCAGAGAGCAGTCTGTGACACAGACACAAAAGAAACCACAGAAAATATCACTCACAATTTTAGCAAATTTCGTTAAATTTGACAAAATAAAATGCAAATTATATATTTAATATACCACATGAAATATACTTAACAAGATGTGGCAAAATCACATAATAAAGTAGGCATCTGTATCCCTTTTGCTGCTTCCCACCTTAGATATCACTGATGTTTTCTCAAAAATGTAACTAGAATTACCACCTTATGTATGCCTGCGTAATCCCATCAAGCTACAGTTACAGTTTACATCCATTTCTGTGAAAACATGGATGCTTCACACACATTTTAACTTTTGGCAGCACAGAAAATCTATACAATCAGCAAAATTCAAGGTGGACACCCAAGGTTAATGTCAAATGTGTCCCCCCTTCTGGTCCTGAGTTATGACATTGATTAATGGCCAGAAAAGTGTTTTTGCAAAACATCATGATGTCACAGTGAAGTTGACCTTTTACCTTTGGGATAAAAAAAATGTCATCACTTCATTATTTTATCCTTTTAGACATTTGTGTGAAATTTTGTGATAAGGTCATAGTGACCTTGACCTTTCACCTTTGACCTCAAAAATGTTATCATTACAATGTCGACTCCAAGTGGACATTTGTGTAAAATTTGAGGAAACTCCCTCCAGGCCTTCTTGAGATATCACATTCATGAGAATGAGATGGACACAACACCGCAGTGATCTTGACCTTCCAAATGCTAATCGGTTCATTGTCGAGTCCAAGTAAACATTTGTGCCAAATTTGAAAAAAAAAAACAACAACCCTCAAGTTGTTCTTGAAATACAGTGTTCACAAGAATAAGCTAGATGAGGTCACTGTGACTTTGACCCTTCTGTTGTGATCTGGCGCTATATGGAAAATAAAATTAATTGGACCTTCAAGGGGGGGCGGGGCGCTCCCCTAATATAATGGTAGGGGAAACACTGCATAAGGTTAAAAAATTTTAGGAGCAGGGAGGAGAATGTTTAAGAGACCTCAGGGTTTCTTAAGCAGAGGAGAAAATGGCAGAAAGACTAAGAGTGGGGAGAAATATTCTCCCAACACAGGATGAGAGTGAGTCCATTAAATGCCAAAGATTAGACGGTGCAGGGATGTTTGTGGTCGACTTAATTAGAGATGCACTCACGTCTCTCACCCAATGCAGTAACAATTTAACACCAGAAATAAAGTGATCACAACACTAAGATATATGAAAAACTAGAAAAAAACAATCACAGTGCAGCAGTGATGACTTGGGTCTGTCTCAGCCTTTCATCAGCAAACAATTACAGCACTTTTATAGTCTCATTATGTGATATTGTTAATTCCATTTCCACTGGGTGTCCACACTTTATAGTCTCACAAAAGGGCACGTCTGTAACAACCAATCACACCTTTTACAAGAATTCATCACACCTAGCAACTGGGTCAACCACAACTCCTCACATCAGTCCTAAGCTAGGAGTCCTTCCGACAAAGTTTTAGGCGAAGTTAGGAGCATATCTTGTAGCTTGTCTCGCTAAAAAGCTAATAAACAAATAGCCTAAGGAGACGTGTATTGGCTAGAGCCACTTTGCAGAATGCAGCACAATTGACCATCTTTAAATGTACCTGGAAATGTCAGTGTAGATGGCGATGGTGATGAGGGATGTTTTTCTGTTTATTTAGTACCATTGCTAACATACCACTGCCTGTCCTTAGTGGGCTAGTGGGTAATGTTAGCTGCATGAGATTCTAGAGATTCAATAGCCTGAAGGCTGAAGGGAAATTGCTGGCTGAACTCTGAACAGATCCAGGGTAGCACTAGATCACTGGGATAGAATAAGCGGTACCAAACACCAGGAGACAGGGCAGGAAAAGACATAATCACATCAATGAAATGAAAGAAGGCAGGAATCAGAACGGCACGCTAGCCCCGAACAGAGCAGGACAGGGAATAATAAAATAAGACAGAGTAGGACAGAATGGATCAGCAGCACAGGATAATAAAAAATGTACTTCGCACCCTCCAGGTCCTTCATCGTTGCATCTCTAAGACTGTCCTTTCCCAGGATGGAGGCAGCCTCCTCACACTGTCTGCGTCTCGTGGGGTACTCACTGCCGGTCAGAGAGTGCTTCACATTGGAGTTGGTGATGAGAATGACCAGGCCTGGATCTGAAAGAGGGACAGGGGTGGCCTCCAGGGACCTGCGCCAAACCACAAAGAAGAACATGAATGACAATGATAGATGGAAACATGTCGTATTTCCTGTCTTTGAAAGTGTTTTGCCAAAAATGCAAAGTAAAGCCTAATAACTAACAACAGACAAATCTGTCATGTCAGTCTTACAAGAGACTGTTGGATTCATCTACTCTCATTAGATGTTTACACTACCTGCAGTCAATGAGCAAAGCATGGCCCTCTCTGCCGAGGACAGACACAAACTGATCCATAATGCCACAGGGTACACCAGCATGAGTGTGTTCTGCCTTCTGACAGGCCACTGCTTTGGATACCTTGTCTCCGTCATCTGAAAGATAAAGAAGGATGGAGATTAAATACTAAAAATCCAGGCTGATACACCTGAAGATCAAAGAAGATCAAAGGGTTGTAAAAATGAGGTCCTTTATTGAATTTTGAGCATTAGCTGAACTTAAGGTTGTAATTAAGCAGTATCAGCGTATGGCAACACTAATACATCAGTTTCATGCATCCCTACAAGATTCCATGTCTTTTCCAAAACTTTCATTGATTTTTTACTAAATCCATGACTTTTCCAGGTTTTCCATGACCATGGGAACCTTGCAAAAAAGATCAAATTCCCGGGTATTAAATTCCCCAGGTCTTCTGCATCCTGGGGCCCATACAGCAAGCGCACTAGACTTTCGCGAGCCACACTGCTAACTTCCGGTTTAGTCCTCCAATAACTTGAATGCAGATAAAATGACTTCATTGTGCAGCTTCTCCAGACTTCTAAAATATTATCGGACCAAATTCATCAAATCCCGATAGTGAAACCAGTCAATTTGCAGGGGTTGTGATGCTTAAATTAAGTATCCACTGATTTACAGGCATCTCTTTCACATTGTAAGTCTATGGGAAAAAGTCTTTTTGGGCCTAATGGCATCACGTGATGGACCTGGAAGTTTAAATTCCATGTTTGGCCACTACGAAAATTGGGCTCAAAGCCCAACGTACAACCTTGGGACCTGGGCAACAATTATAAGCTGAGCTGTATGTGTGCTACATAACTAGTAACTAGCGCATACTAGGGCCTGTCGCTGTTTGCATGCAGGGGGGGCCCACTGTAACTACCTTACGCCACTGAATATCTGAGTCACACGGGTCTGACTGTCTCTGTATTCAGACTCTGACCTGGCTTCAGTTGCTGCAGGAATGTGTAGAAAGCCACCTCCAGAGAGGCAGAGCTGGACAGACCTCCACCCAGGGGGACACTGCTGGCAATCACCGCCCTGAACCCTGGGACAGGAGGAGCTGAAGCATACCAGACACAGAGAAAGTAGACATTCAATAAATATCCTGTGGTGTCCAACCGAGGCAGGATAAAAGATGACATTTGTGAGATTAACAAACCTCTGCTGTGCATCTGTTTTCATTTATTTTGACAAGACTAGATTTACTGTATTAGGTGAAAAATGAAAAATATATAAGAATTCCTGGGGCTGGTTGCACAAATACCTTAAATTAAGATTTTCCTTTAAGTCCTGGCTGTGTTTTCCTCAAAATAAAATCAATTGCACAAAACACCCTAAGAGTTCTCCTTAAGGTTTCCTTAAAATGTTCAAGAAAGCATTTATAGTTTTCTCTTTGTCTTGGTTTTATACTTAAGGAATCCCTACACCGTTGCACAAAAGACCTTAGCAACCAAAGCAAGTTAAAAAAACAAACAAACTTAAGGCACCTCTGACTCTATCTTAACTGAGGTTATGGCAACAAATGAAAAAAAACAACACACCCTGAGAAGAGTGTTGGATACGCTTTTCATTTTATACTATAGAGCTGACTGAAATAATTTCCATTGCAATTTCTTCTTACAATTTTCCTCCTCTGACCAATATGGTTTTCTTGTCTTCTTCTACCATTTTTTCACTATCTAACTGTAACCCAACTTTGTGAGACGATAACAGGCATCACAAGCGTGGGTCCATGCAAACAAACAATCCCCAAGGAAACTTTTACCGCTGTAAAATCTCATTCAACGCAGTAAATGAGTTAATGTTTTACCTAAACCATTTAAGGGATTCTGTACAACAGTGTAAGTCCCTCAGCTAAGGAAAAGAAAGAAGAAATTACACCTTCAGTGCCATACTTTAGGAGTTTTGTGCAACCAGTCCCTGTAGTATATAATAGTGATATTTATTGAGAATTATAATACCTAATTAGGATAAATTCCAGGCAGTGTTTTTACAACTGTGGATACAGTCATTGCCCATTTGTTTACCTCTGTAATGCTGTATAACACCCTTCACATAGTTTGCCCAGGTGGGTAACCCTGGAGACAGTGGCGATCCATCACTGGGCAGGCTGAAGTCCACCCTCCGAGGCTCATCAGCATCCTCTGTTGCTGTTACTATGGTAACATCCAGGCCTGAGGTTTGACGACCTACCACTACAGTCACCAGGGGCAGCGCCTGGCACACAAAACACAGACAAACACAGCTGGGCGCATGTCTTCCTCTGTCAGAGAGGGAATATGCCAAACTCCATTTAAAAAAATAGGACATATAACGTTTCCTGCTTATTAGTGAAACATATGTAAAACTTAAGTTCATGTGTCAAACCTTTCTGGAGATTCTGCTCTTCTGTTTAATTCGGCATGCAAATAATACCAAACAGGATATGACATCAGGATATTTTGAACCACAACGCCACACAGCCGACTACAGAGCAGTGGGTTTCATGAATGCACATGCCCGCGTTAAAACAATAAAATGAAAGATTTTTTAACGACACTTTGTGTGACAAACTTCACCCTCACCACATGGGTGCGCTGTTTGTCAACAACAGAATGAGTCATGAGTTTACCATTGGAAGTACAAATCCCTGGTTGTAGTCAGTGTGCTCCCCTATCAGGTTGACTCTTCCAGGAGCACACACCGCCGTCTGAGGAGCCTCTTCACCGAACACCTGCCCGTACAAACGCCGAGCAGCCGCCACCAGCTCGGAAACACTCGGGAATGAAGAGTCCATCTCTACCGTTACTTCAAACACAAATTATATCAATGAAACATGCGCGCGAAATCCACCCAAATGATAAAAGAAGCTTGCAAGCTAACAAAATGCTACGTGCCGGTGATGTGAGAGGTTGTATGACATGTTTGACAAGTCACCATGTCATGTGCTCTTCACTTCCTAGAGTGCATGTAGTTCATTGTGAGGCTCTGATTGGTGGGAAGAAAGTCACATGACACAGCTTGCTCTGCACGTTAGACTTGTTTAATCGAGAAAGAGGCGTAAGTATGGATCAATATTTTAGACTTACCCCGGAAACACACTCATTCCATTTCTTTATGCTTGTCTTAACTTTCACTCCAAAGCAGCTACCATGCTTTCCTTACTAAGCTCCTCATTTCCTTTGCATTCCCTTCCAGTGGTAATATAACCGGTTACCTGCACTCTACACAGAGGGAGAAGATGGAAGGGGAAAAAACATTAAAAGCTCAGAGATTATGGGTGGAGCTCTCTGACATCCCTGGCATGCAGTTGGTGGGACACAAGCAGCATCTGCCCTTAGGCTTTAATCTGTGGTTGGAAAAGCAGTTTGATGCTGGCACCTGGTGGCCGATGTGCTCAGACCTCAGAGGTGTGGAGACTCTTCTGCAAACAACAGCAACAGCTTCCCAAATCGTGCAAACACTGAACAGTTCACCTTTGACAAAAGGCATAAACGATGCAGCTGCTGATTGCCCATTGGCCATGATGGGGCCCCCTCAAAGGAGCAAATTAGAAATGTTTTGTCATCTTTTTTTTTTTTTTAATAATAATTTATTTGTTTAAGAAGGGACAGTGTACATTAATGAACATTCCTTTTAAAGAAAAAAAAGAAGAAAATGTAGATGCACCCAATTGCAGCCAAGGGCTTTACATTGGTAGTCCCCCTGCCAGATGTTTGTCAGCGTAGTTCCTAAAAAATAATAAAAACTCAATACAGTACACATAAAATATGTAATTACAATATAAAATACAATAAAACACACAACAATCTTATCATCACAGTATAAAGTCGCCCAGCGACACATAACAGTGACATTGCATACATCATGTTGCCTCCAGTGACTTAAGTATGTGTAAGCTTTATGCCTTGTTTCTGGATGCAACCAAGTAACAAGCAGATGGGGGAGAAGTGGCTGTATGGGGTGTGTGGATAGAGTGTGAGCCTGTAGCAATGCAGGTCCAGTCCAGTCCAGTACATAGTTCTTGTTGTAGTTGTGATCAATTGTGATGGATAACAGTAGTAGATGTAAGGACAGTGGGGGTTAAAGTGCTGGAATAATGGAGAACAACAGAAGTTAAAGTGCTGTAGAGCTGACTTCTAAGTGCTGTCAGTTACATTGCAAAGTAAGAATAAGAATAACTTTATTCATCCCCAAGGGGAAATTCAATAAGAATAAACTCTTCTCTTCACAGAAGTATCCATTAGTAGTTTAGAAAAATATAATAAAAATTCAGTAAAACTAAGTAAAATTGCAGAGCTACCAGACTTTGCTGCTACTAGTTGAAGCACATGTTCTAAAAAGAGTAAACAAATAAGCCCGCAACAAAAGAGAGATAAATAATAATAAATAAATAGGAGAGGGAAAAAAAAAAAGAAGAAGAAGAAGAAGAAGAGAAATAAATAAATAAATAAATAAATAAAGCAGCCAGGGGAAAAGGGACTGTTTGGGGTGTGTAGATGAAGTGTAAAACTGCAGCAATGCAAAGTCCAGTTCATAGTTCTTGTTGTAGCTGTGATTAATTG